GTTGTAATTTTAATCAAATTAATTGCGTAGAAACTAAAATAAGGGTTTATTCCCTTTGCTAGGAATTTTAGGAAAATATCATAAATATTCCTCTTGAATTATTTGAATTATTTTACTGAATCTAGAAGTAATACGAAATAGAACTCATTACAGGGAATATTTTAGAAAAAGGCATTTATGTATATAATAAATATTCTCATTGACAAATAGTACAAACAGTTTCCATAGTCAGTCAAAGTTAGACTAGTTAACAGGGTATTTTTGAGCTTCCACCATGCCACTTGGAATCTATTCTCTTCTTTTTTATTTTTTGGGAAAGTTAAAAGGCATTAATTAAAAGGCCTCGACGATTACCATAAGCACTTACCGAGGCTCACCCATAAAAAGAATATAACGAAACCCCAAAAGATGAGCTCGAAACGTGTTCAGCCAACGAGGCGGCTAACAGAGTCCGCAGACCAATTCAACTAGCCGAAAAGCCGCTCAAAGCAGCCACAACAAATAACAGACTAAAAATACAAAATACAACAGAAAACAAAAAACTCTTGGCATTTCATGATAAATGATTGTTTTTATTGTTTGCCCACCTGCCAAAAAGACTTGCGCTTTCGATATGCATATAAAGATATACACACATTGTATATATATATAACGAGATTTCTGATAAACCAATCAATACACACGGCTTTAAAGCTTAGATTTCATTGCGTTGATTTCCATTTCATTTGCGGCCAATCAACCAATTATTTGCTGGCTTATGAGGACTATCAAAAAGTAATTGAGCTTTTAATGGAATTTTAAATAAACACGCAGCACGAAACTGTAAATATTTAAATATATGAATATATATTATTATTATTTATAGTAGCTAGCAATCATTGAAATTATTGCTAACTATAGCAGTGGCTTACGATGAATTTATGAATTATATTTTTATATATATATGTAGAAATTCCAGTTGGAAGCGAGAACAGCCATTGCAGGGTATTTTTCAGTCGCCTTTCCCACAACAGCTGCCACTATTCAATTTCACTTTCAATCAGCTACCGTAACACAATTCATAGCCCCTGGGCATAGACTGATTCTGTATGGATTTATTTGGACACTATTATTTCAGCATCATGTGGAAGTCAATTGACCGCGGGCCATCCAAAACATAAGCAAAACCTAACTCAAGCCAGGGCCATTAACCGCAAATCTATCAAATTTTAATAGCCGCAAGCGGGCCAATACAATAGAAACACTTCAAGAGTCGCTTATTAGCACACCTAATTATTAATTTGGCTCTAACAGTCATTGTGTCTGCGATTTAACCCTCATTATTCACGCTGAACAGAACAAAAAATTAGACGAGTCATAAAATGCGGAAATGCTGCTGAATAGATACCCTACAGAAAAATACACAGATTAATATATATTATATAAAAATAATATTTAATATATTTAGGAATTTAAAGAGATTAATGATATAATATATTAGAATACGTTTCAAATATTCAATTTTAAAATAAATTTCTTACATAATATTTCTCAAGTTAACGTTAAATTCTCTTGGCAAGGGTATACGAAAATGTCTGTTAAACTAAATTTATTAAACAACAATTAAACGTCAAATGTTGGCACTTGAAGAGATCTTGCGAGTGTTACCAGCTCTTATAAATGGCATTTTCAAGTGATTATATTATTAAGCGAGCACAAACAACTGTACATAAATGTATATATACATATATATGTGTGTATAGTATATATGATTGTTATATTGTTTGTCGACACGAATCGATTTGGTTATCTTCAAGCAGTTATCAAGTGTTTGACATTGTTTTCTTCTCTTTTTTGTTTTTGTTGTTTTTTTTTTTCATATACTATGTTGTTGTTGCTGCATTTTATTTTCGAATTGATATCGATGGCGTTTTAATTGCACACCAAAAAGCGTCAGCTCTCACACCAGCGACTTGCATGATGAATAACTTGGCGCCACATCATCAATCAAATACGACAAACAAAAAAAGACCTTAGCTGCCGGATAATTCCAATAGCTTAACGGTTCTTGGGTTTCATGCTATGCTAACGAAAACTTTTGGACAAAAAATTGAGCCTATTATCAATTAGAAACTCAATTAACTGAAGCTAATGAGACCCTACAAAATCTTCAGCTGAACGTATGATTAATATGAGAAAGAACTTGACATGATTTATTTTATAAATATTGTTATTTACATTGATGCCATCATTAATTATTATTATGAATGCTCTAAAAGAATTCTAGTTTTTATTTGTATTATTTCATTGTCATTGTCATAAAAATTACATTTGCCTGTAAATAATACAATTATATTATCGGGCATCTGCTTAGGCATTTCATATTCTTTGGATACTCAAGAACACGGATTTCCACTAGTCATCGTCATGCATCATGCCTGAACGATTTGGGTTCGCATCCCTTGTTTATTCTACACTCAAGGTGAATATCTATTGTGAACAGCATTTGCCCAAAATGACAAATTCAATGGCTGACCAAGCCTTGGTATATAAAGTATATAATACAAAAATTAGTTTTCGTTTGTAATTATTCGAATAAGGTAATATAATCGTACAGCTTAGCTAGAAATGGCTGCTTATGTAATTTATCAAGCATAGGAAAAGAACTGGATTGCTGAATATCTGCATATCTAACACAATATTCTCTCAAATATTCTCTTGCCCAACAAAATAATAAACACATTTATACCATGGATATTTATTTATTAATCTTTTGCTGTTTTTCTAATCCATTATGAATCATATTAATAGCAACTGGCTGATGACAATCGATTTGAATGTCGTGTGATTTATCTCAGTTGCGGAGTAACGTGTTGGTCTATTTTTAATAGAAGCAAACAGCACGAGCAATAACAAACGACAAGGCGCACCAAATTTATTGTTTATACAAATGTTATCTTTAAATTATCATTAATTTATCATGCAAAATACAAAAATTGCGGTTTCCAAGTCCAGAGGTGTCTGTCTCAGTGTGTGTGTGTGTGTGTGTGGTTGTCTCTATAAATAATATATACTATATATGAGTCGACTAGAATACTCGTTCTGTTAGATATGTGCGAATTAGTGCTGTCGTCAGCTTCTCAGTTCAATTGTACCTAGTATAAAACTATTTCTCTGTCTCTCCCTCTCTGTCTCTGTCTCACCCTCACTCTTTCACTCTGTGTGTAGTTCTGATCTTGATCTTTCATTAACACCAAGATCAAGAGAGAGCGAGCGAGAGAGAGAGAGAGAGATAGAGAGCTTAAGGGAATGCCAAGTGTGTGCGCCGCGCTTTATCTACTTCCTGCATCTTGGAATTTAATTGTGTTTAGTCTTTGCCTTTGCATCGTAATTGATAAAGTTAAGCTAAGCACTTTCTACCGAACTCATTATACACTGCGTATGCGTAATATGTTTTCCATGTTCTCTCCATGTTGCACTCTAATTGCAGTTCAGCAGCAAGTTTCAGTTTGACTCAGCTCCTTGGCAAATTTCCCAAAAATGCAATTTCGAACAAAAGCTTGTTGCTTGGCAAACTGCCTGCGGCATAAAAACTAAAATCACAACGCTAAGATACACACACACACATAGACTCACACACACACACACACATCCACTCATACTCATATGTGCATATAGATATCGTGCAGTAAAAGTCGAACGAGTTTTGTACTTTGCGCATTTTGCACGTGTCTTTCATTATATTACGTTTAAGTGCCCAAACAATTAGCACATTTGAAGCAAACGACACAGCCTTCAGTTTCAGAGCAATCAGAGTCTCTGTATAGTTAGGGAGAGAGAGAGGGAGAGCAGGAGGCAGAGCGACAGAGAGAGGGCTAAGCTCACTCTGCCTACGAAAACCAGAAGCCATTCTATGCTTAAAAATAATAGCTCACTGTTGTTAGCTAGATAACCTTTTGTTTCTCTTGTGTAAGATTGAAAGGAGTTTAGTTGATTAAATTGATATCAGATGTAGGCATCCATTTTTGCACCTAGTTTATAGCATTACAATCTGTATTCACATAAGTGAATTCACTTCAAAGAATGTGTGCACATAAGTGAATACAGGTGAAACAACTGTAAAGGTGTTAGCTTGGAACTATAGCCTTAACATAGGCAGAAACTCTGCCAATAAGTCAAATAATTTTAGATTTTTGACATCACAATAAAGCATATAAATATAAGAGTCAGAGTGGTATGTGGTATTTGATAGATCTTTAGGCTGTGGGGAAAATAGTATGAATTTTCTTTTGGATTACCAGATATGATACTTTTAAGAGGTTAACCATTGCTGACTGAATTTACATAATACATCAGTGTAAAATATGAGACCTATAGCTATAAAATAGTATATATACCATACTATATATAGATTTCAAAATAATTTACAATTAAAGATTACTTTGTAAATCGATAGTCTTCAATTCGGCAATTTTCAGGAAAAACTTTTAGCCCACTATACCCGGAAAAATCTGTAATATTAATTATTTTTTCCTTTACATTCCCATACAAAGTCGAATCATTGATTATATCTCTTTCAATTTCCCAGCTCAACCAATTGAACAAAAGTCTGTTTAAAATTCTTATTAAAAATAATAAAATATTTAACTGTTGTGCTTAAAGTGTTTAAACACTTAAGCTCACAGCTCAAACGGCTTGTCAACATTTCAAGCCATCAACAATTAAAAAATAATTAATAATAAACAGAATTTACATTTTCATCGGATTTTCCAATAACAATAAGTGCAGCGGAAAATGTTTTCTTTATTTTTCATAATTATAAAAGTCAAATGAAAATAATAAAAACTGAAACATGAAATCATTTTTTTTTTTTTTTTTTATTATTTTTGATTTACACTTACTCGATTTTTGTTGTTGTATATTTTGCTGTATTTTATTTGTGCACTTCGTGTTATTGTTGCTGCGATTGTTGTCGTCGTTGTTGCTGTTGTTGTTGTTGCGTTTGTTTTTGTTATTGCTGCTGCTGCTGCTGTTGCCGATGACGTTGTTGTTGTTGTTGTTGCAGCATATATGTATGTATACAACAGTTGCTGTTCTTATGAAAAATTCTTGCAATTATTGCCCCTGTTTTTCAGGTTGTCTTGATTATTTTTACTGTTTTCCCAGATGCTATCTTTAAGCCAGTATGAAAATAAATTCTCTTGTTATTTTATCCATAGCTGCAAATCGAAATTAAGAAAAAAAAACGGGATTAAAATTCCATTCGCAAAACATGAAATAAAATTAAATGATTTGCTACAGAATTTCAAATACTCTGCAAATAACTAAAGTAAACGAATCGTGTTTTAAAATATCTATGTTTAATTAGAAAAATAGTTCTTAGGTTAACCACTATTTTAATACAAAGATATACCTTAGTTACACAATTTGTAGTCAACTTGACCAACTATCTCGAATGACCCTATGAGAGAGTACAAAAATGCAAGATTAAATTTTGATTCGAATTGCAATATTTGCTTTAACCCTATTTGTTGCATCATTAAATAAATGTTTCAGTGTTTGCTCGCCCTTTACATGGCCAATAAGCAACAATAATTTGAAGCCATCGATAATGATTATGCAAATCAAATATACAATATACAATATACAATATGAATTGCTTAAAATTAAAATTTGCATATTTCTGCGCGATGGCAACTATTTTATTTATTATTTATACATGAACACATATCCTATTGAGTTGATTCAGTTTTCTCAATCCTTTGATTACTCTAGATCTACCTATCTCTTTCCTTTACCGTTCGCTTTGTCTTTGCCTTTCTCTCTCTCTCTCTCTCTCTCTTACTCTCTCACTGTCGTTCTATGCCTCTCAACATCTATCATCTCTCTATCTCTCTCTTTCTCACATTCTATTCCATCCTCTTACCCTAGTTTTCTTCTTCCCCACCATTCGGCGCTTTCGCTTAATGGCTTTTTTCTATTAACAAGTTAGTTACATAAAAATGTTTAACAAGTCCTTGTTTAACCATCCATCCAAATGCTGAAAGTCAACAAGTAAATCCCCAACTTCAAGCGACAGCTCCACTCAAGGATACCCATTACAAGCAAACAAGAGAGTGACAGAGTGACTGAAGTCAATTCATTTCATTTAATTCTACGTTTTCCAGCATTGAAATACGCTTTAATACCCTGCATCTGGTAGATGTGCACGACAGGCATCACAGATAAATCTCTCGTACTGTTGGTTAACGAAGTTTTTCCTACAGCCTTCGCTTGCACCTTTCCCTTTGCTCTTCCCTTGCTCTGCATTATGCAATTAAGTAGAGTTTTTATCTGCCGCTGCTGCTGCTGCTGCTCCGCAAATGTGGGCAGCAGTTGCTGAATCAGTCGTTTGTAAAATTCGCTTAAATGTTATACATGGAGGCTCTTTTATTTTTGCAGTTGACATCCCATTATCCTGCTGCTTATGTAAGCTGCCAGCAAGGATAATCGGACTTGCTAATTAAGAAAAGGGTAAAGAATAACTGTGCCGTCAGCACCAGCAACGTGAATAGCTGAAAAAAAAAAAACTATCAACTGGTCTGCGAGTCGATAAAGTGCATTTAAATGATACAAACAAACCCCAAAAAAAAGGAAGATGAACGGCCAAAATATATTTGATTGAATTATACAAATAATCAGTCGGGAATACCGACTGCATAATACTCTGTACAAAACAAGCAGAGAAACTCAATGGCAGTCAATAAGGAAATATAATAAAAATCAATAACAATAAAATGTTAAAATTTCCGAAAGATATGCACTATGCAAACTCCATATACCCGCTTTTAGACCTGTGTGAACGAGTATAAAAGGGCGACGCAAAAGTGCTATCGCTGCAAAAGGACCTGGAAAACTCGTGTGAAGGAAAGAAAATTGATGCGACACAAATTTCATTGAAAATTCATTTTATAATTTTTGTTTCGCCTTTTTTCAGCACTTTTGCGTAATAAATTATGAGGTAAAAATCGCCAAAAGAAATTCTATCAATGGAATGGTCAAAGCGTTACAATTCAATTTTATTTAATTCATTTTTTATATATATTTATTTTCCCTTTCAGACTGTCGCAGTTAAGGGCAGCTGCAAAGCGGATTAATTGGGCAACTTCCTCGTGCTAAAGCCACAATGTAAATGTATCCACAAGTTGCAGCTTAAAAGGCAAAATTTACGCTGAGAATCACTAAGAGCAGAGTAAAAAGAAAGGAAGGGAGAGAGATAGGGGGAGTGTGTGTGTGTGTTGAAGGAGAGTCTGCCAATGTGTTGCACAAGCAGCTAAATGTGACGTTTTGCAGTTAGGCAGTAATACGAAATGAACAAACACACATGTGAAATACCCTGTAAATTTAATATGTTTCCTATTTGAAACTTAAAATGATTAAAAGTATAAATTTTGAGATTTTTTTCAATCTTATGTAAGAATTTCTTCCAAGATTTTCTTAAACAGATCTCTAATATCTCTCACATCCCTCAATCTGAATTCAAATATTTACACGGTATTAAATTGTGAATGGAATCGTATTCCATGTAACTCATTGTTCCATTGAGCTTAGCTAAAAGTATTCATAGAGCATCAAAGGAGACGTAACAATCTACACTGCACAACATAATCGCTGACCTTTAAATGGTGAAAAGAGCATCTGCGACGGACAACAGACAGCCGGGACAATGAGCATCGCCTCCACTGACAGCAAAGCTAATTAAATATAGTGTAAATGTTGAAATGAAGCAAAGTTGCAGCTGGGTCAAATGGCCGCTCAAAGGGAGCCCCAAAAACTGTGCTACAAAAAATACATTTTCAAGTGTAAACTTCGAAAAAAAAAATGTTAATTGCAGAAATTAAATTTGCCTTGGCAGAGAAAATTCATCAAACTTATAACCAAATTAAAATATATAGGAATATGTGCAAAGTTATTCAATTTGCAAATAGCTCTAGAGCACAACTATTCCATGTATACATATATGTATATACATAAATACCTTCTTTGGTTTTAACCCCTCATGCCACGCCCACTTAAATGCTTAACAAACAGGCCATAAAATAAGCGTTTCATAAATTTTGCGTGAAAAAGTGTGTGTGTCCACAAAATTGCAAAACAAACAGTTGTTAAAACCGATCCAAAGTCGTAAATTCTAAGTGCGTGTGTGTGTGTGCGTGTGTGTGTGGTATCGAAAGGTATGCACACACTCACACACACACTCGATTAATGCTAATAGGACCCGCCCAAAAGATGGCGTCGCCTGAAAACCCTTTTGGACTCTGTCGCCGTCTTTGTGGCGTCGTTGGCCAATCTCCTAACTTATTTGTTTATTAAAGAAAAACACTAAAATTGTTGGCGACACGCCCACGCCGCTCAGCACAGAGCTCAAGTTGTAGCAGCTAATGCTAACAAGGTGGCCAAGGAAAATGCCTCAGGTGATAATCATGATGATGATGATGACGATGAGGTTGTTGTTGCTGTTGTTGATAATGAGTATACGATTCGATTTGGCTTTAATACGCCAGATGAAAACTTTGTGGGCGAACTTTTGGCTGTTGTTCATAGAAATTCCAAGAAACAGTGGCACACGTGCCATAATATTTGAATATACATGATATAATAAATGAGAGCAGACGAGTCCAATGCTTTAAAAGTACTAAAATACATCATAAAATAAAATACATAAATAATATGTATAATTCGTTTATTTATTCTGCTATAATTATGTATATTATATAGACAACTTTAATTAAAATTATCGTGAATCACGTTGAACTAATTTTCGTATGAAATTTGGCGACAGCATGAGATGAGTGAGAGAGGTAGGGTAGAGAGAGGGTTCAGTAGATTGAAAAAGAAAAAAGAGAGAGAGAGAGAGAGAGAGAGAGAGAGAGAGATTTAGAAAGACAGAAAGCTGAGTGAGAGAGGCGATTAATGAAAAAAAAGAGGGAGATAGGTCAGTTGCCTAGAAAAAATCAGAAAGATTACATTCACAGTCATAATATTTAAGATTCCAATATAAACCATACAAAAATTACTAACAAAACTTCATCTAATACAAAATATGACCAACATATGTTTATAGTATATTAACAATTAGCTTAATTTATTTTATGTAAACTCTGTTACGTTTTACTAAATTATTTACTACATGTTCAATATAAAAACAATAAAGTAAAAAAATATATATATATTAAATAGAAAAAACATTTCATATAAATCTCTTTTGTTGCAATTAATTTAGCATTTTGTTAAATGACTGCAAAGACTACAAAGGGTTTTAGAAGCTATCTAGTGGCTCTGATTTATGCTTTAGTTAAAATGCTTAAACTTAATTTATACGTTTGCATCAAGTCCGTTGTGCTGTGTGGGAGTTGACAACAGCAGCATTCAAAGCGGGGGCAACAGGATTAAACCTGCCCGGGGCGTGACGTAGCACTGGATGGTGCTTCCGGCCAAATTGACAATGTAGGCAAGAGGAAGGGGAAGGGGAAGGGGAATGGGAAAAGGAAGTGGGGGAAACATTGTCGCTTGGAGTCATTAATGCCCAGCTAAAACAACATAATTTAGTACCAAGCCCCGTGGCCTAAGCATAAACAATGCCCATGATAGCAACAATACAAAGTGGAAGAAGAAGAAGAAGAAGAATGGACAGGAGAAGAGCAACAGCTACAGCAACAGCAACAACAACAAGGCCATAAAATGAATGCAGCCACAGCGCCAAAGTGTTGAAAGCTCTTTATATATGAAGAAACTTGGAAATTTGTCTGAAGGAACACAAAGAGGGAGATTACTTTTAGCAACTTTGTTGCCTCAAATGGAGCTACCAGATTAGCAACATTGTCGACAGCTGATGGTTTTTTGAATGCTTATCGTGATAGGCATAATTTTAACTAGTTTCAAATATTTGAATTCGAATGAGCAAAAAAAAAACCAAATATAAAAGAAAGAAGGAAATTAAAAATCATGAATGGGCAAAATATTTAAGGTGGGTTTAACGGATGCTATACGAAGATTAACATAAATACTTATTTGTGCATATATATCGAAAGTATAATATAAAGATAATTATTTAATTAATTCAAATTGCTAAAAAAAAAAAAAAAAAAAAAAAAAAAAAAACAAAAAGCTTAAAAGTTTACTTTGTATTTATGTAGATATAAATTATATGTCTTCATATATAGTCATTCTAATTTTCAGT